TGCGTCTGCCCCCTCCCGCGGAGCCCCGCCTGGCACAGCAGAGCTCAATCAGCCACTGCATGAATACACTCGAATGGAAAGTTGTGTTCAGCTGACCAGAGAAATCGGAGCTGGGCTAGCACCGCTCCCCTCCTCCCTGGCTTCCCCTCGCCTTCCCCGCCCTCCCTGGGGCCAGACAGCCACCCCTGCCCGTGCACTGGGGCAGGGAAGGCCCAGTTCAGCTGGGGCCAGAAAGGGGTCTGGCAGTGAGAGGTCGAGGGGGCCTGAGTGTGAGCACCCCAAGCTCAGCATCCTGGCGGCCAGGAGTCTCAGCCCAGCGCTTCAGGAGAGAAGAGACAGAGAGGAGGGGCATGAAAGCCCTAAGGCAGCAGCCTTGCTCCAGGTGACAGCCACACAAAGGCCTAGGCAGGAGAGAGGGCCACAGAGGCAGAAGATTGAGAGGAAGAAACAACACTATCTCCTACGCAAGGGAGGCTGGACACATCCAATGGTCCTGAGAGCAGGCTGAGAGTTCAGAATGTGCTGCTGCCCAGAGATAGTGGTCACTCTTCCTCCACAGCCCACTGTGGTCCCCAGCCCATCTTGCCTTGTAGCCTCACCGAAAGGCCTGCCACCGCTGACCCCACTGCTCCCAACCCCAGTCCCCGCCTGCTCTGCCCCATGTGGTTCCAGACCCACTATTGATCAGCATCAGAGCCCTGCGCGAGGCAACTTCCGGGTCATTTCATTTTAATCAGTTGTGTGTCTTGCTGGGGAATAATCAACTGTGTGGGCACTGGGTAGTCGATAGGTAGGATTGGAGGAAGGCAAAAAGAGGAGCCAAGTGAGCCTATGGGCTGTGGCTAGGGGTGGGAAGCTAACGGGAAGGCTGTGGCCCCTCTTTCCTCCAACTGACTTGGAAGGGTCAGACCTTTGATACAGATTTTCTCAGTTTCACATCCCATTCTGCTTTCCTGTGCAAATCCTGGATTGTCACTGCTATTCTTTGAGGGAGGTAAGGAAGGCCAAATGGGCCGTGATTCCTCAAAGCTCTTACCCCATAGACCAGGCGGCCCAGGTATCCAGAGGCCTACTGTACCTATGGGAGTGCTCTGAGCCAGAGCATAGGGGCTGTGGCTAGGGGCTGCAGCCCCAGGCTGAGCACAGGAAGTGGGTTCCAACCCTCTGGCACCAGAAGAGGAGCCAGCCCACTGGCTGCTGTATGCCCAGACAGTAGGGACTGGTGGTTAACACATGTGCCCACTTATGTGGCCTGACCCAGGCTTATAGGCCCATGCCAGAGCACAGCCGATGTGCAGGATCCTGGGCCCAGATGCAGTTGGTAACCTCCCCAGGAGGCCTGCTACCCACAGAGGCTGAGAAGGCGGTTCCACACGTAGCCCCTTACCCTGAACTTGCCCTGGAGCTGTGCCCTCCAGGACCTTGGAACCCTGGCACCTTTGACCATGTCTTTGGGGGACCCAGAAAGCAAATGATCAGGCAGGCAGCTAGTAAAATGAAAAATAGCCAGAAAGGGACCTCTTTTCCTCACTCCCATGTTTACAGAGGCAGAAGCCAAATTCACAGCAACATATCAAGGGCAAGCGTTTAACCTCTTCTGTCTCCTGGAATGAATACCTCCTGTGATCCCCTCCCTTCATAGAGGACTGGGAAGCCTGTTAGGGGTAGAGTCATGTCTGTGGGCTGACTAGAACAAGGCAGCTCACACATATCCCCATGAAAACCAGGACTCACAAGACATATGTCCCCTGGACAGAAAGTCCCTGTACACATCGTATTGGTGTACTGGAGCCGCCCTAAAAATCCTTGAATAACTAGGAATATATGAACTTCTCAAGCTACATGCAAGTTACTGTGCCTCAGCTATGCAGTATGCATGAAAACATATACTGGGCACATACAAGTGTTGTGTACACACATTTATGAAACATCGTGTGTACATCCTCTTGTGTGCAGACACTCAGATTGTGCACACATATCCCACTGACAATAAGAACACATTTCTCCTGCAGGGACCCATAGAAAGGTCAGAAAGTGCAGCGGAGAGTGGTGGTATTTGTGGAGGCCTTAGGTAGAAGGCAGGTGATGAGAGAGTGAAAGGACAGATGATGAACTAGACAGAGAACAGGCTGGTGACATTCAACAGGGCTATAGGCAGAAAGGTACTGTGGACCCCAGCTGGTAGTGTGTTTTCTTCTGTTGAGAAAGAATGGGCATTGGAAGTCCCAAGTCTGCTTTTTCTGTCAGGTATGTTAAGAGGAAAAAAATAACTTCCAAGTTTGTCCTCTGCCCTCAGACAAAAAGCATTACTCCCAGGTGTCACCAGCACAGGCCTTCCTAAAGTTGTTCTCCAGCAGAGTCACCCACCCTTCCATTTTATCCTTCAGTTCTGGTTTTACCCAGACTCTCAACATCCACTGAGGCAGCTACTGCTTTTGGGTTTCCAGGCCCCAGCTCCGGGTCAAGTACATGCCTGGTTATGTAAAAGTGAGCACAGGTAGCGCAGTCCTTCTACCCAGAACAGAGGCTTCCACCAGGTAGAATGCAGACAGTGGCTTTCCCAAGCTCCTACCACCTGCCTCAATAGTGCCTGAGATGTGGCAGCAGGAGGAATGTGGCCCCAGGTGGGCACTGAGCACACAGAGACTGGCACTGCATGCCAGGCTGCTGCAGACTTGGAATCTCCAGAAGTGAGCTGGATGCCCTAGTTCTAAGTAGGGACACCCTGGAAAGAACCCGCCTTCTGCTCCAAGCACACCAGCTCTTGGGCACCCAGGGTACCTCCAAGGCAGGGCAGCCTTCCTGCCTAGCTGTTCTGTAGAACTCCTCCTGGCACTGCCAAGGATGAGGACACACACGTGCACGGAAAAAAAAAATTAGGAGTCGAAATTAGCTTGGAAGTGCATGCAAAATTCCAGGCACGTTTCTCCCTAATCCTTTTTGCTTTGGAAAATGGGCTTTCAAGTGAAGGCAAGTTTGCTGAAATTACCTCTGTGGCTCCTCCTCAGGTGCTGACTGTCCAGGCCCAGAGCGTCACCACCCCTGGGAACAGTGTCCCCAGCCCGACCCCAGTGAACTGAGTAGGAAGGCTCGGAGCTGGCAGGAACAGGGTTAGTATGAGGTAGGAATCTTTTTCTAGTTTTCATTTTAAAGATAAGCCAGTTCTGAAGTGGTGTAGGGGCTGAAGGCACTATGCTGATCCCAAAAGACAGGACAAATCTTTAGGGAGCCAGGGACCCATAAGGTGAGTTGCACAGTGACACAGAGACAGGCACACGGGTGGTGACGGGTGGCGCCAGGCAGGACCACTCTGCTTCTAGGTCCTAAACTTCCCCTACAACTTCTTCCCTTGCTCCTTTCTCTGTTCCCACCCTAAAAGGAAGAAGACAAAAACCTGTCCATTCTTCTGGGAATGGATGCTTAGGTTTGGCAGCTCTGCGAGTTCCCCTTTTCAAAAGCAAAGCAACAACAACTGCACAGCCCCCAAGACCCACAAGGGCTGAGTGGCAGGCTGCAGCGCCTGGAAGAGCTTGGCCCTGGGCAGATCTGGGCCTGGCACCTCGTGCAGAAGAAACTGGCTTCGGTAGCTCCCTCCCCTGCACCCTCTCGCCTTTGCTCCCAACAGATCGGCTGGGGCGCTCAGCCCAATGGATCTGGTCCCCCCCCTTTCTTTCCACCCAGGCTCAGCCCCAGCTTTGAAATCCTGTCCCAGCTCCAGAGACCACGGAACGGGAGAGGAAAGTAAAGGCCTCGCCGCTGCACCCCAGGGCTTCAGGCCAGGGGACAAAAACACCAGTCTCCGGGAGTGATAAGAAAATGGAGAATACTGTATTTGCTTTAGAAAGTTTTTACATATAGATAAACACGCAGTTAAGATAACAGTAAAAGCGCCCTACGGGGAGTGAGAGATATCTCCAAAGCAGCTAAGAAATACTTGAAATAGCTTTTGCATAAGGATACTACAGTCTCACTCTCCGCTTTCGCTCATCATGGGGTCCCTCTTCCAAACCCAGGCCGCCCTGCCAAGCCTTGACTGCCAAGCCTAAGCCAGGACCGCGGAGTGGGAGGGGAAACCCCCCAAAAGAAAGCTACAGGTGAAGGGTAAGAGAGGAAGGAGGGAGAAAAGAGAAAGAAAGAGAAAGAGAAAGGGAGCGGAGAAAAAGCAATAGCATATACAGGCAATTTCTACACATATATTACAAACTGGGAAAATGACTGATCATTAAGATATACATAATTCATATAAAATTTTGAAATAAAAATAAAAATCTGTTACAGTCATAACTATTCTTTTTCCACATTTATAACCAGTACCCACACAGGCAGTGACAGAGTGGAGAGGAAAAGGTGCTTACGAAGAAAATGATTGTCTGTTGAACAAAAAAACAGAAGATTGCATCTTGTCTGACCAATACTTGGACTTAAAAACAGAGAGAAGAGAAAGAAAGAGTGAGAAGAAGAGAGAGAGCAACGAAAGGTGAGAAACACTTGCTATTTCTTGAAGAGTTCTTTTTTTTTCCTTTTCTTTTAAACAAATTCAGAACGGAGATGGCAGAGTTTTCTTTCTTTTTGTCTGGTATGCTTTCGTCGTCTTGTGGTGGTGGTTTTTGTATAGTCGACTTTTTAAAATCATTTAAACTAGAGAGAATATTTTCCCAGATACAAATAAATCGTCATGCAGGTGGGGTGCCGGGTCCATGGGAACCAAAAGGAGAAGCCGTGCTTGTCCTAGAAAGTATACAATTGTCACCTCTCTTATGTTTTCTGCCCACAATATCAGCGCTTGTGACTGTCGACGTCGCAGTCCTTTGGGGTGGCCGTGGTAGTAGATGGTGTTTGGGGGTTGTTGATGGTTTACGGTTAAATTGTTGTTTTTCTTGGTTTTTAAATATTTTTGGCTGGAGTGACTGTGTGTGTGGAGTTGTGTGTGTGTGTGTGTGTGTGTGTGTCTGGTGTATGGTTGTGTATCCTGATTTCGGTTTGTCTGGGGCTGGAGGAGAAAGAGGAGGGCAAGAGGTGGGGGAGAGGACAGAGCGGAAGGAGGGTGGCCTTGGCTATCATACATCACATTCCGAGTCGCTGGAGGTTACCGAGAGGATGGAGGTGCCGGTGTCCGCGCGCTCCGTCAGGCTGGACACGCTGGTGGTCGGACTGGCCGCCGTGGACGGCGACTCGGCCGAGCCGTGCGTGGGGCAGCCGGGCTCGGCCAGCGAGCGCATGCCGCTCGGTCCGATGGCCTGGTGCTGGAGCCTGCAGAAAGAGAAAGCCGCGCCGCGCTGACAACGAGCCCCGACCAGGCTGCCCCACACCGCGCAGCCAGGAGCCGGGCCTGCTGCGGGCGCCCCGGCGGTGCCCTCCGCGCCCCTCCCTCCTGGCACTTAGCCGCTCCTTGAACGTCGCCAAAAAGCTTCCCCAGCTCTGGCTCTGGGCTCCCTTCTCCAGGGAAGCTCTCCGGGCTCCCCGCTAGGGACCGGACTTCCACCGTACAGAAGACGAAGCCGAGGCCGGCCGCCTGGGGACGTGGAGCTGCAGTCGGGACGAAAGGAGCACTTCTTTCTCTCTACGCTAGAGCTCTTCAGACTGAGCCTGCTGGTTTCAGAGAGAGAGCTGGGGAGCAGTGCGGTTCCCTCAACGCGTCCTCTCCTGCTAAGGGACACCGGAGCTGAGAGGTTCTCACCCGCAGCCTCCTCGGGGAGCATCCGGGAGCACTTAGAGCTCTGCTCTCTGGATCCCCGCTCAGAGCGCAGGATCGGGAAGAGCAAAGAGAGCAGCTGGACGCAAAAAGTAGGGCACCAGGAGGGAGAGGGAAGAGGGCGAAGGAGAAAGCCAGGGGAAGTGCGGAGCCCTGCCTGGCTGCCTCTTTCCCGGGTTTGCAACCGGCTGCCTGAACCAACCGAGTGCCTCCCACTTCTCCCCACGAGAAGACAATCGCCTGACACTGGTGCTTCCCCAATCAGGCGAAAAGTGGGCTGCACAGGAGTAGTAAGTGGACCTGGGCCGGGTGGGGCTGAAGAAACCACAGCCCAGGAGCTCACTCCCAGCCCCCTGCCTGGGGAAGCAGCTGTCAGCGCCTGCGGGCCTGCTCCCTGCGGCCCTCTCCACCTGAGCAGGAACACAAGCTCTCACAGCGCTTGAGCCTTCACCCAGCTTCCTCCATTCCTCCCCTGCTCCACTCCTTTCCCCCTTCCCTCTGGTTCCCTCCAGTTCTTCTACTTTTTGTTTCCTCTCCAGCCAGCTCCTCTGATAGCCAAGCCCTGTACCACTCTGTGACTTTTTGACCCATTTGCCCACAGCAGGGGCTGTTCCTGTTGGCCTCCCAGTGCAGTGGATCCAAGGGGATGATCCTCAGCTCAAGAAGGAGGCCCAGCCCAGGTACCCACACACGAGGAACTGAGCACATGCATGCACAGACACTAGGCCTCAGCACCCCTGGCCGGGTTCTCCTCTGGGATCCTGCATTGCAGGGAGGACCCTCTGAGTGGTGGCTTCCAGCATTTTCCCTTTGTGGCAGGGACCCAGGCCCATTCTATTCTGCCTGCCATTTGTGACTTCCTCTCGACTTTGTTTTTGCAATGCATGGCAGTAAAAAAGATGGCAAGGGGTACTTTCTGTCTTTCCCTGTCTCTAGGCTCAAAGGGACATCTAGCAGGGGACAGGATAGGGGAGCTGCTCCTGCAGCTCCCTGGGGGTCAGGACCCCAGGACATAGGCACTTGGGACTGCATGCAATCTCTCTCTCTCTCTCTCTCTCTCTCTCTCTCTCTCTCTGCCCTAGCAAAAGCTCCTCATGGGCAAACCAGTCAATAAACCCACAGCGGGCCCCCTCTTCAGTGTGCCAGGGATGGTGGAAACTTTCTCCAACTGGCCAGAGATTCGAGGCTTCTCTAGCGTCCTGCTAGCCCACATGTCAACCCCTCTCCCAGTCCCCAGCCCAGGAGGCGGCAGCCAGGCCTCCGACTCCACTGACCTGTTCTTGGCCGCTGCGGCGCGGTCGCGTTGCCGCCGGTTCTTAAACCAGTTGCCTACTTGTGTGGGAGTGAGGCCGGTGGCCTGCGCCAGTTCGCGTTTCTTGCTGGGGTTGGGGTAGGGGTCCTGCAGGTACCACTCCCGCAGCAGGCTCCGAGTCCGCTCCTTGAAGCAATGCGTCTTCTGCTCGCCGTCCCAGATGGTGCGCGGCAGCGGGAACTTCTTGCGCACGCGGTACTTGTCCACCGGGCCGAGGGGGCGGCCGCGCAGCTTCTCGGCCTCCTGGTAGTGCGCCTCGAGCCACATGGCCTGCAGTTTGCCGTGCGATTCCTTGGTGAACTTGTGGTTCTCCAGGATGTGGTACAGGTCGCGGAAGTTGCCCGTGTGGAAAGCAACCACGGCGCGCGCGCGCAGGATCGACTCGTGCTTGTTGATGGCCTCGCACGCCCCGGGGGCCACGGGCAGCGACCAGAGGAAGCGGCCCAGCCGCTCGATGTCGCCCGTCTCCTCCAGCGTCTCACAGACGCTGGCCACCTGCTCCGGCGAGAAGTTGAGGGTGGGCAGCTGGAACATGGACAACTCTTCCGGGGGGGCCCTGGAGCCGCCGCCGCCGCCGCCGCCTCCTCCCGCGCGGTTCCCGCCGCCGCCGCCTCCCGCGCCGCTCCCACCGCCGCCGCTCGCCAGAAGTAGGGAGCAGTGGTGAGAATCGGCGAAGTTTGGCAACAAGAAGTGGGAGGAATAGAGGTCTAGGGGGGAGCGGAATACCATGGACTGACCTGAGAGGAGAGGAGAAAATTCAGGGAGAGGAAAGGAGAGGGGAGGAAGAGGAGGAGAGGGGCGATGAGGACCAGGAGGAGGGAGAGGAGAGGGGGGAGGAGGAGAGGGAGAGGAGGGGGGAGCAGGAGGAGGGGGAGGAGGAAGGACGGAAGGGACACCCACACCCCACACACATCCACACGCACACACGCCCGCGCAGCCACATAGAGAGGGAGGAAGGAGAGCGGCCCGGCGCGCGCGCGCAGAGAGCGAGCCCGAGGCGGAGAGGGAGAGGGAGAGCGCAGAGCGAGAGCCAACCACCGCCGAGTCAAGATTCAGCGATTCCACAGCAATCGCCCTAATGACAACAGCCTCATCATATCTCCCCTAAATCCACAGTGAGTGCAGCATTGAAACATTTTGTTTCGCTTTTCTATTGGTCTGCGGCGTGTCGTTGTGGCGTTACCACGGCAACCGCTGCCAATCACTGTCAGCCCTGCCAATCAATACCGAGAACGTAAGGACGGTTTTACCACTTAGCCGGAACGAGGGGGGGAGGGGGAGGGAAGGGTAGGAGGAACAAGGGGGAGAAAGAATTTTTTAAAAATCTTTGCAACTCTTAATCTCGGCACTTCCCCCTCTCTCTCCCGTCTCTCTCCCTCTCTCCTCTTGCCTCTTCTTTCCTCTAGCTCTCGCTCTTTCTCTGTCCTTCCTCTGAGAAGTTGACCCAGAAATTCTAAAAGCCAGGGTCACAGAGTAGCTGAATGAGATGACCAATTACAAGGGGGATTTTGTTGGAGGGTATGACGCTCCCCACGGGCCTCAGGACAGGGTGTGGTCGGCTGGCAAAGCAAAGACCAGGGCCCACCAAGCCGGAATGGTTTGCACACGGCCGCGTGTGCGTGGGGCAGCCTCTTTCTGCCTATCTAAGCATTAACAGTGGCAAAGAAGAAAGGAGATGAGATCATAGGGCCCACCAAACACCAGCCCTGGCTCAGCAGGCCAGGGGATCCAAAATTTTTTTTGAGGGGAGGATGCATTTGACACCTGAGGGCCTGACCCGAGAATCCAGGGTTGCATAGGCTCTTCTAGCCTCACTGGCCTGGGTCCACAGGGCTCCATTCACCCCAACTCCCCTCTTTCTCAGCTGGCATTCTCTTTACTCTGCTCCCGACCAAGGAGTCTTTATTTTTTTCCCCCATCACTTTGTATTTTAAAATAGGAGAAACAAGAGTACACTTCATATTAAAAAGCAACCACTTTGTGTCCCCCCATCTTCAGCTGCCCCTGGGACTTGTGGAGGAGCTGCCCAGGCCCAGAAACTTGGGAGCCGGCTGGACCCGGGGAAGTCAGGAAGATCCCAGTTCCCTTCACACACCAGAAGGACCTCTGGACCTGCCCATCAGCTCCAAAAGCACACTCACACTTTGGAGAAAGCAGATAAGGCCTGAAACCAGCTTGTTTGCTCATATTGTAAATAACACTAATAAACTGCCTAATTTTTCTGTAGGGAAAGTACCTGGCAAACCTAAAACAGAACGGAAAATGTCTACAGAGCTCAGAGGGCACTCCCTCCCTCAGGCCACGGCAAGCCCCAGGCGAGGCCTGGCTGTTTATCCCTAGGTATGTTGCATTTAAGAAGATGTAATCAGCATCTTGAGCCGGCTCCCTTTGTGAGGCTCCTGTAACTATGGAAGTGTGATTTACGCAGATTTGTCGAGGTCAGAGATGCCTTTCCCCAGCACTGTGTATATTTAGACAGGACTCGGTTTGGTGTTAAAAAGTGTATATGTTGAATGGATTCACACACAGTAGCCAACAATGCCCACATTGTCGGCCCGTGTACAACGCGTATTGAAACGCAGCGCTCAGACTTCAACTAATCTGCCCTCAATAAAGCTGAAATAATTATCCTAAGCTGCCTTTCCAGAAGAAAAAAAATCATTGAGGAATTCAAAACTTTTTTTCAAAAAAAAAAAAAAAAAAGATCTTTTCTGCATTCCGATGCAGATCTGGAGGCACCGCAGCGGTCCACACCACTTTGGAGATCTCAATGAGGAAGGAGAGAAAAAGATTGAGGGAGAATTTAAATAGGACTAAGGCGACCAGGGCTGGTCTGCCCTAGTCCCTAAACCTAGGGCTGAGGCTCAATTCAGGCCTCGACTCCTGTGGCATTGGAGGCCTGGGGGAGAGCGTGGCCTCTGGGTAGGGCAAGGAGCCCAGAGGTGTTCGCTCAGCCCTGAGTCAGTTTGGGGTAATGGATCTGCAGCCCTAGCTGGGCAGAAAAATACTCTCCTGAAAGGAAGACTTCTCAAGCCCCACTTCGAGGACCGTATACTGTATCTTCTTCTGGGCCAAGGGGTTCTTTTCCCGCTCAGCTGCGAAGCTCTGGGCGGTCCTTCACTGCAGGCCCAGAAAAAGCCCAAAGGTTGAGACACAAAAACAGACACTTCATCTTTTCTTCCCGATCCCTTTCTCTTGCAGGGGAAGGATTATAGACTGAAAGATGGGAGGGGGAAGGGGCAGGAGGAGGAAGCTGGGGCGGCAGGAATGAAAAAGGGGAGGGGAGTGGGTATTGTGCCGCGTGTGGGGGGAGAATTCCTACGGGTGGGTTTCCGAATATTGTGTTCAACTTTTTGAAAGCAGCTCGTGACCCCGAAACTGCATCCCCCGGACCTGGGGACCCAGGCGCCGGGCGGGCGAATGAGCCCAGCCAGTCCTTCCCTACCTCCTACCCCACCCCCGCCTCCGGGTGGGGGCGACCTGGCCTCTCCCGGCCGCTCTAGTGCCAGCCCCGGAGGGAGGCTGGGCAGGTGCCGCGGGCTTTGCTGAAAGCCCTGAGATTGAAAAATCCTCGCTCGCGGGGATAATTTAGGAAATTCGCGCAGACTCCGCTCCACTAGGCCCGTGTCTCCCCGGCCTCTCCTGGGGCGCTTGCGGTCCCTGCAACCGCCTGTTCTTGGCGGCCGCGGTCCAGAAGCGCAAACCCGGGAGGAGGCGGCGGTGAGCACGCAGCTTTGTACGCCCGGACTGAGCTCGGCGCGGCGGGCGGGCAGCAGCCTCCCCGTAGAGCCCAGAGCGCTGCGCCCACTTCGTCCAGCGCCTCTAGCCCGAAGCCCAGCGCCCGGCGCCTGAGGTCAGTAAATTGAGAGTCCGCAGAGCCGAGAGGGGAGGCGGGGCGGCTGGTCCTCAGAACAGACCGCGGGCCTGGGAGCTTTGGCTGCTCGGGTTCTCGGGGTAGGGGTACTGTGCGTGTTTGGGCGGGAATGGGGACTAGGGATTCTCCCAAATTGCTGGGGATAAGAACAGAAAAAACTTGGGCTCCAGCACCCGGGTCACCTTCCTCACTGGTCTGGGGAGCAAGCCATCGGGCAGCTTCACGGCCAGCAAGTGAGCCTCGGGGACCCCTGAGCACAGCTGAAATGTGCGTGCGCGCACCCCGCGTTAGTCACAGCGACAAGGTCCGAGGGGACAGGTTACCCTGCGGGGTCTCTTCATCGGTCCCTTGCCGTCTGGCTGCTGAGATCTGGGACTTTGAACTGGTACAGACTGAGGTCAACTGTGCAGAACAAAATTGTCGCCATCACACCCGCTTCAGTCGAGGCCTTCAGAAATACGATACTCATGTGGTTCCAGGAAAAAGTGGGTGTTGGAATTGGAGAATGTTCTGGTATCGGGATTTACTGGACATTTATTTACAAATGTCAGTCTCAACAGCAGCACTGAGAAAGTCTCAAACAGACTTTGCTGAGAGACTGGCTTGTTTCTGGTGGCAGGGGTCTGCAGGCCTCTGGGAGAGAAGGACACAGAGGACTAGGGCAGCTGCCCCCAGTCGGCCTTGCCTAGCTTGTAACAGCGCACTCCGGCCAGGGAAGGTTCGTGGGGGGGGGGGGTCAGGGGACCGCCCCTTCCGGCCACCAGGAAGTCAGGAGGTGGGGGCTGGCCCGGTGGCCCAAGATCTGGCCTCCTCGCAAGCGGTAAACTAAGGCGCTTGGCGCGGACCGCCAGGGAGGGCGCAGGGGAGCGCAGCGCGCAGGCAGGGAGGCCGGGAAACCCTTCAAGGACCCCGATTACTTTCCTTTGAACAACAACAACAACAACAACAACAGCTCCCTCCCGGCGCCCCCGCCCCCGTCTTAGCCTCCGGGGACCCGAGCTCCCAGCGATTGTCGCCCCGGACGGTAAACACAGCTCAGTTGCCTCAACTTTCTCCGCGCATAAAAGTTCCCGGCGTGCGAGGAAATTTGAATATTTGATCAGCCCCTTTGAGTGACCCTCATTAGCCCGGCGCCCTGCTAAGGCCCCAGCGTTGCAAGAAAGCTTCTGGGCCCGGCATTTGTACGCCTTGTTAGCGCCGCTTAATGAAGCCGCCCGGTCGGCTCAAAGGCGGCCCGGAGGCCGGCAGCGCGCACCTCTCGGCACCCCGCTCTGCCTAATGAGCCCCACCGCCCGCTAAAGGACCCTCCTCCCCCCACATCCTTAAACAAGAGAAGTTTGGCTCTGTCTTGGGGCACAGGCACCACCCACTGCCCATGAGAGTGGGCATAAACCCAGTCTATATGGCTGTGGTGATGTAGCCCCAGGAGAAAGGAGCAGCTGACTTGGGAGGTGTGAGCTGTACTCATTGTGTGGGTGAGGTTGTGTCCATGGGGTGCAGCTTCAGACTCTGGCCCTGGCTCAGTCTCCCCCTGCCCAAAGGGACCACAGCCAATCAGTTAATCATTCCAGTTCCTCAAAGATGCTCCTGTGCTAATGTTGGAGAGGCAGAAGGCAGAGGCCCAGGGGAGGGCATCTTCCTTCCTCAAGTTCCTTTGGTCTCCATTACCCAGGAGGCTGCTCTCTTCTTCCCACCAGTCCTTTTCTGACAGCCGCAACTCAGACCCACCTTTGAGAAGGGAGTGCAGGCTCAGCTTCCCTAACTACCGCTGCACCTCATCTGCAGAGCCCAAACAGTGTACAGCAAGTGTCTCAACAGTTGGCCATCAAGAAGGGAAGGCAGATGCCACAGCCTGTGCTGCTGTCCATCACACCCCCCAACTGTCCCTGCTGGGATCTCCCTTTGATCGTGTTTCCGGTCTTGGGCAGGCTTGAAGAGGGGCCTTAGAAAGGATCACCTTCCTTGGGTGAAACTGGGCCTGTTGTAGGGGGAAAGTTCCTTCTCCCAGGAAAGAGGAAAAGAAGGAAAGCTCTAGAAGAAGGGGGAACCAAGACAACCAGCTGCTCCTCCCTTTTCCTCTTGTCTTGGGACAAGTTACATGTTTGACCAGTAAATATATAACTACTAGAAATCACACTTCAGTCTTCAGAAACTGTCCCTTTTTTCCTCTATTGCCCTGTTCCGTGGACTCAAAAGTCAAGTTTCCCTGCCCCCCCCCACTTTGTGCTCTCAGCTCCTGGGCCCTTAAAGGCTCCTTTTGGAGGGTGTGGGAAGCAGGGTGGCCCCAGAACCACCCTCAGCCTTCTGGAGGCCCTCCTCCTGTATGCCCACAGCACCTCTGACCACTGTGAGCTGGGCCAGGTTGGTAGCTTCCAGATCCTATTCTGGGAGGCCCACTCTAGAAACTCGAGGGCCAGGCCAGCCTCCATCCTCTACCAAAAGGCCAGGCAGGCCTTGAGCTAGCAGAGTCCTCTTGGTCCATCCGGCCTGCTTCTCTGCCCTTTCCTCCCTTCTCCCTCCTGCCATTTCACTGGCATGCCCACCTCACTTCCCTCACTAAGACCCCTTCAACTGAGGCAAAACTGACAATGTATAGGGATCATCCTTGAGCTAAGCCAATGCCCAAGCCACAATCCATGCAAAGGGCAAAAGCAGGAGCAGCAAAGCCAAGGGGTGGGCGCTGTTGGAGACAAGGGGGACCTAGGGCGGAGGTAGAGTCAGTTTTGTGGCCCCAAGGCCAGGCCCACCGCCGCTCAGGGGAGGAGGCGAAAGGAGGGGGCAGGGAGTCCGCGGGCAACGGTCGGCGGGGCAGCAGGGACCTCAGGAGTCGGCGTGGGGGGCTAGATCCGAAGGCGAGGGGCGGGGAGGCGGGGGTCTGAGGAGCGCGCGGGGCGGAGGGGGGCGCCGCTCTTTAAGAGCCACACGGCTGGCAGGAGAGGCGCGCGGCCCGGTGCTGGTAGCGCACTGACCCCGAAGGGGATTTAGCGGGAAGAGAGCGGCGGTCTCGGGGGGCGCCCGGTGAGGCCGAAGCTCAAGAATAAGGAGCGTCTGCGGCTTGAAAGGCCGCGAGGAGCGGCGGCGCTGCTGCTCTTGACTTCTGAGCAGGGTTTAGAAAATCTGCCCCGGCTTAAGACGAGCTGCGGATGCTGGGCCCGGAGTGCCCCGTCCGCTGGCTCTGTCACTGTCCTCCGAGCCAAGGGGGTGGGGTGGGGGGTGGCTGCCGGAGTGGGGGGAGCTGGCAAACGCTCTCCTGACTCTCCAGTCTCGCCATCCTCACGCAGAGGATCCCCACGTCCGCACGCTGTGGTCAGAATTTTCTTTTCCAACTTGACTTTGGGTTTTGTGTGTCTGCCTTGCGCAACCTGGAAGCCGGCCGACCCCAAATGGAGTCTCAACAGGTGGCTAGGTAAGTCTGTTTAAAGGATTCTGGTTATACGGTCAGTACCTTCCTGACCCCCTTCACCTCCTTACAGTTTTCCCCCAGGCTGGACAGAGCTTCCCAGGCTCCTCCCGCGCGCGCGGGTGAGAGCGTGCGGAGGTGTGCTGGGGGGCAGCGCCCTCCCCCTGGGGTCTTGGGGCTCAGGGCACCAGCGAGGGTCGTAGGCAACCCCTGTGAGTTCTGCCTGGTAGCTCGGGTCGGAGCAGCACTCTTAGCTCCTTGCTGGGGCCTGGCGCCCCAAGAGGGGGAAGGAGGGAGAGCGCATCTCAGCACCTCCAGAGCCGAGCTGGAGGAAGGGGGAACAGGGGATCCCCTAGCCGGCGGCCTTTGTGTGGGCGTTTTCCGTGGAAACCGAACTATTCATTCTCTTTCATGAGAGACGTGGGATCCGGCCCAGGGGATCCGGCTCAGGGAAGCCCGCGCCAGCGGCACAAAGACGCGCAAACGAGCTTCCCGGCAGCCGGGGCTCCTGTAGGGTGGGGGACGTAGCCAAGAGAGGGGGAGGGGAGGCAAAGAAAGGCTACGGCCAGAAATCCGGGGCGTCAGAGAAAAGTCGGAAAATGTCCCCAGAGCGCGCCGCAAACAGATGCGCGCTCGCGGGCGCACAGCCTCCCCCGCCCGTCTCCTTTTCTCTTTCTCTCACTTACACGCGCACACACACCCATTCTGCACAGGTAGCCCAGGCGCGCGGCTCTCGGCAGTGCGGGGTCGCACGACCGGGCCAAAGCCGGGAGCACAATCCAGCCGCTTTCCTCCCAGCCCCCACCCCGTCCCCTCGAGAGCGCCCGTCCGGGGGGAATTGGGAGGGCCCTCCAGGTCTGGGGCTCGGGTGGAATCTTACCTGCAGAAAGGTAAGGCAAGCCGGGAGCGAGAAGCAGCGGCGGATAAATATTCATTAGGAAGTGTAAGTCTCTCCTTTTAAACCGCGCGGCGCGCTCTCTGGCTCCTATCTCTCTTTCCCTCCCTCCCTCCGTCTCCTAGTAAGATTCTCTCCTCCTCTGACCCCCCCTTCCTTCGAAATACCAGGTGGATCCCAGCCTAGCTAACCTGTTGGGAAGCTTGAGCTGCGGGCAGCGCCTCCACAGCTAGCTGTTTGCTTTCGCTCTTGGGGCGCGCGGAGTTCTCCCCTCCCTCCTTTTACCCAGCCCCCACCTCCTCCTAAATTACTACATCATTAGCTTTATTTTCCCGGGGGTTGGGGGGGAGCAGCCGGATGCACCTCTCCATAGCAGGGTGAAAAGTCTGCGCTCTCCGAGGCGACCCCAACTCCACCTTGTCCATCTCCACATCCCTACTCAGTCTTGTTTCTTTTTCTTCCCTCTTTCCATCTCCACCTCCATCCGGTTCCAACCCTATTCCCTCACCATCCCTCCCACCCCGCCGCGCCGCCTCCAATCCGGATTCCAGACTGGGTCAGCAGTGAGATATCTGGTTGGTAGGTCCCACGCGTCGAGGTTGGGATTTCACCCAGCAAGGGGTGTGGGGTGGTTGTCCTGGCCACCCGTGCCACGTAGATTTTCCATCTTGACCCTGAATTGGCACCGGAGCGGCTTGGGCCTTAGGATCAGAACACTGGGAGTCACTGAAAGGCCTGATCCTCCAAGCCTCGGGGTCCCCGAGCCTTGGCTCTTTGATCTGTGCTGCGTGAGGGAGCAGAGGTGGCTTCACTTTGCCCTAATGAGCTGGAGAGACACACAGACCCACCATCCGACTGGCATTTGCCCTCCAGGAACGGACTGCCTGAAGTTAACGGCAAGTCAGCAGCTTTCTCAGTCACGGGAAAACACTTCTAGAGGATTCCAGGAACTCACAAGGAACCGCTTCCAGTCGCACGCGAGCGCGAGCACATGCACCTGCTACCCCCCAGCCAGGAAGCCAGCGCCCCTGCGGACCTCTGGAAAGAAAAGGTGCACAGGCCGCAGGCCCGGCGAATTCCCGGCGGAAGAATGCGTTACACGTCCGCCTTAGGGAGCTGTGGTCATCATTTTTGATCACCTTCTTTCCCAGATCAAGCCCCCTAGGCCCCTCCAGATGCCTTGAAAAAAAAATGTCATGGCCCCAAAGTGCTAGGGGTGGCGGCGAAGCGCGCTCTGTTAGCTCGCGGGGCGCTGCTCCAGGAGAGGGCTGGAGGAGGGGCGGAGGAGGCGGGAGGGGGCTGATTTCCAGGTACTAATAGAGCTGTCCCCCTGAGGCCACGGAGGAGAGCTTTGTCTCCCAAACCCTCCAATTACTCGCCCCGAGGTTCTGCGACGTCCACAATTGGATTTCCACCCTCCCTAGAGCAGCCAGAGGATTCTGCAGTGAGGTGGCCGGTAAGGATCTGCAGGCCAGAGCCCTAGAGACTTTTCCTCCTGTGAGACCCGGCCAGGCGGTGACTCATCAGGAGAGGTCCCAAAGGTGGGTCCCAGCCTTCCAGACAGGTTTTGTGGCTCAGGATCGTCTGAGGGTTTCCTTTCTTCTGAAAGGTGAAGAAATGGTGTAAAAGAGGCCTAGGAGCCCTGGGGTCAGGAAGTCTTAGCAACTTTACAACCCATCCAAAGCTCGAAGTTGCCACTTGCACACTTCACCGCCCCAAGCCAACAGTCTGAGCTCTGTTTCAGAATCAGTCAGCTGACCATATGCAAATATCCTTGCCATTTACCAGAACACACGTAGGCAAATTAAAGGAACACAGAGCGCAAAATTGGAAGAGTAAAGAAGTGTCCATGGGCATAATTATTCAAACGCTTGAGTATACACTCAGTTGTCCAAGTAGGGACAAAAGGCACAGTGACTACATGGATCGACCCCATACGTGCAGGCAGGTTACAGGAAGTGGCATACAGGGGGGACAGGACCAGTGAGGATGCGGGCATCAAGGCTTCCTGTTAGAGAAGGGACATTGGCCTCGAGGGAGAAACTTAGTTGACTGTATGAGAAGCTTCAGGTCAAGTCCTAGAAACCAGCAAGAATGGAAAGAACAACAGTCACCGTCCTCCCTGTTCTGTTGGAGACACCCAGAAGAGGACAATGCGGGAAAGATTCAATTTGACAGCGATTAGCCATATTTACTTGTCATTTTAACCTAGGAAGTTGCAGTCTGGGGGAGTGCACAGAAGGCATAGTCTCCCTGAATTAGAGGCATCTAATTCCTTCTAACCAGGCTTCTTCTAACCAGGGATCTAGAAATGAACCCAGAGTTTCTAGGTTCTAGAAACTCCTTGTTTTGCCCTCTTCACTTCCCTTACTCTAAATCTAGTCCTTAAAGGAACTACTCATTGAGCTCCCTCCTCTTGCCCTTGCTTCTGTCCCTATCTCTTGTACATCAAATTATTCTCCTCTGGGGGGAAAAAAAACACTAAAACAAACTGAATTATTTAGTTTATGAAATTCATTTTCATGGAAATAGGGGGACATTCTCAGCCCCTGCTCCCCAATCCCAGGTAGAGTTCGATGTCCCTGCCCAGCTGAAGAGCCACCAGCAAGAATTCCCAGTGTGGCCATCCCACCAGGCCTGAGAAACCGCACAAGCTTGTCTTTGATATCTGCTCCATTTGCCTGTGTGTAGTCCGGGTGAACAGTCCCGATCATCGGCTGGTTTTGTGCGTGTTGGCAGCAACGTGCCCTTCCCCCACTTCATCTTCCCTTCCAACTTTCTCTCCTTTGAGCTCATTTTTCTGAGCCTCTTTCTCATCTCAACATAGAGACTAAGTTTGGAAAGGTTTGCCTTAACTTTTATTTGAAAAGAAGGCTAAAGGGGAGCTTCTGGGCCAGCAAGTTAGATGGCCACCCTTCCAGGGGCAAAGGAGGGCCCATTTCATGAAGAAGAAATGAACCACCCAAAAGCGCTGCAGGAGGACTTGCTTCAGCCGTCCTAGTTGCCCTAGAAACGGAGGGGATATGGATGAAGGTGTAAGCAGGGAAAATTTTCTCCTCTTTTGGAGGCAAATGCTGTATCATTTTCTTTTTTAGGATAGACTTAATTCCTGGGCATCATAGCAAGAGTTTATTCGAGGTTTTGAACCATTGTGAATGAAATTCACTTTGGGCTCATGAAATCTTGATTTTCATTAGAAAGGCACTTTCTTCTGAGGCCATAGTTTTCACCCAGGTTTCCTCATTCTCAAATGAGGGCCCATCAGCTGATTCGCCCCAAAAAGAGATGTTGAGCCAGAAATGCCTACGAATGCATCACTTTCAAATCCGCAGCGTAATTTTCATTCCCTGTACCTGAAGTTCAGAGCACAAAGAAACTTGTTTACTTTCAGGTATTCTGTCCTTCTTTGGGCAGTTTAGCTAAAGGTATTCTCAAATAAATGATGGCATTTTACACTTGGAAATATTTGTTATTAATTTTGAATCTTCCAAGAGTCTTCAAACTCTGCTGGGTTAATTTTAAAAAGTGCATGTATATAGACAGTGGTACTGGTTGCAACATTTATCACTGAGGCAGAAAAGCAACCCATTTTCAACCCCAAATGTCCCATGCATAGTGACTGCAGCAAACTTATTTTTCTTTTTCCCAAATGCCCTTGTCACCTCTGCCAAAGAAACAGGGCTCAGAGCAAAACTGCATAGATCCGTGACCTCGCCAATAGAGCTCACCGTATTGTTAGGGTTTTGTTGTGAGAAATTCTCACTGGTTGTGTGCCTCTCTGTCTTTCTTCCAAAACTAGCTGATTAGGATCGCCCCAGCTTCTGCCCAGAAGGAAGCTCACCATTTCCGGTGCCCAGGGCAAAGGGCTAGGGTGGGACAGTACAGAGGGTATGCGGGCAGCATAGATGGCATCATCTCCCACAATGAAGTAAAATAACCAGATACCCTTTAATCCTTCCATAACAGTGTCAACGCGCTGGAGAGGCCAACTCACCTCCAAAGCTGTCTTCAACCCCAAGGGCTGGGACTCCGCGCCGCAGCCCAATACTGGGCCCGCGCGCCGAGAGGAGGTACTCCGACGGCAAAAATCCCATACATTTTTAACTACAGTGATTACTAAATTAATAGCAGGCACTAAGACAGATGTCAAAACGTCTTGAAAATGTTTATCTGTGAATAATTGAGAAGGTGGTGGGACGCATTATCTGATTGTGTAATGAAATATGTATGAGGAACAGCTGTTTGCAACAGTCCCCTCCCGCCGTAGTCTCAGCCAGGGCCCTTCTCTTGCTAGCAGGAGTGGAGCGAAGTTGGTCGGCCTCTTTCGTCCACTTGGGCAGCCACTTGCCCCCTCCCTGGCTGCTGGCACAGCTGTGGCTGCAGAGTGCCCCGAGTCGCCTGGCCCGCGAAGGAGGGCATCACCGCAGAGTTGGGCCCCGAACCCCAGCCTCGCTCGCTTGGCTCAGTGGCGGGAAGAGGCTTGACGGCCGCGTTGTCCCTCACGCCTTCAGGGCGGGCCGCGGGCCGGGGCTGCGGAGCCCTCTGTGTGTCCCGGGAGCGCAGCGGTGAGGCCAGACCCAGGACGAGACCGGAGCCCCGCGGCTCTGCCGGGCGGACGGGGTCACTGCGGGGTGACGCCAGAGCTCACGAGAAGGCTTTGTCTGGCACTCCGGCCACACTATCCACTTCCTCCTAGCCACCGCCCCAGCCCCTGCGTCCGGCCCTGATTGTTTTGCCGCCCCGCGCACAGCACCCTGGCACGCAAACTGCCCACCAGGCTGCGTCCGCTGCCCAGGCCTTGGCCCAGGGCCGGCGTGAGCCAGCGCGGCTGGTTCTGGTCTCGTGGACAGCAGCGCCAGGGAAGAGGTGGCTGGGGGGTCTTCCTGGAGCGAGAGGTGGCAGGGACAACCAGCAGGCCCAGAGAGAAGACCCGAGTCCTAGGTTTGGAAGGGCGCAGATGCCTGTGCCAGGATTCCTGACTCTCCAGCCCCAGACTTTGGGTGAGGGCACAGTGGGGCAGCACAGGCTAGGAGGACCTCGAGGGACCCCATCAGGTCTGGGCCTTGGATAAGGCATCAGCCACACG